AAATTGGATTCGAGGTTAAAAGAAGAGGAAGAGAAAAAATTACTTGAGATGTTAGGATAAGTATTAGCAATGAGGGAGCCTTCGCGGAATAGCGCGGAACATCACCGATTCCGCCCTGATTCAGGGTGCCTTTTGTACTTTGAAAGGCGCATGGCTGCTACAGCAATAAGTAACGAGAGGGACCAACAAATGCCCGGCCACTGCTTATTATCAGCAAGTTGTCAAAGAAGATATGACCAATGTGGCAACAGGAAGGCGTTAAGCTAAGGTTTGTGCTAAGAAGCACACTAACCCACCGGTAGAAAAAAGTATGTTTCTGTTTCTCTGCGAGGTTTGCTGTCTTCATTTTCGTAATACCCGTGGTCATATGCATTTTTCACGTCAAAATCGGCGGAATTTGGCGAAGTGTTATCTCGAGTAGGACATTTTACATTGGCGTACACCGACGTGCGAGGGTAAATTGACGTTATAACCAATGAAAGAAAAATGGTAAACATTGCAGCCGTGCAGCAATCGAGCCATGGATGCCCGCGAGAGGTTGCCAAGCACGAGAAAAGCGTTATGTTGATTGTAAAAAACCGTTTACGTCAGCTGAAACGGCGTTCTAAACTCTTTCTCAGTACTAACACAAAAACACCAATATAATGCGAATTATTTATCCAAATTTAATGATAAAAATGCTTTCAGGAGATAAAAAAAAAAAATCTATATATTTTTTCCAGATTTTACTAGCTGATTGCATAGGCGTATGTGCGTACACGCACGCTACATTCCTGGTTGGAGAAATTAACCGAGCTGGGCCAAGCTTTATACGGGGTAACATTTTGTTGTTGACAAAGAACCGCCGAAGCAATTTTTTTGTCTACTTTTGAAGGAAACGTGGATTTGTTTCAATCATAACATAGTTTGACAACTTTAACACAGAAGGCCCACTGATCGAAGCTAGACGTAAAGCTCACAATAAACCCATTAATACTGTTACGAGACTTCTCTCCCTGGGAATGAAGAAAAACAATATGGCCGCCCAATACATACTTTTAGTTTTTAAAGTTCTCCCGTTAATAACAAACGTTGAACATTTATTTCGGCAAACAAACAGTTACGTTGAAAAAGGATTTTACAAAAGTCTCAAGAGTAGGTCTCCTTTTCGATTTACACTTGCAATATCGGTCAATTTACGCAACTTTTAAGCTTCTGGCTCAGTTTTCGTTTGGTTCTGCTTTGAATTTGAATAATAATTACTCAGAGATAATACAGTGTAAAGAATTGTTGAGGAAAAAATAACTTGCCAATTTATGACAAAAAGGCACTTTAAAAACGAACTAAAACATTCAAAACGCTTTGATCACGTGACTGATAACGTCATGTCCCTATTTTGGCCAAGAAAAAGTTATCAGTTAGAACATTACCTTCCCGCAAATTTTCTCTGTCGTGTTATAAAAGGTAGACTCTCTACATTCCTCGGCCTAGTCTCCCGACTTTTTCGCTCATGTCAGGAGCCCATCAAATGGAGCCTCCATCTCCATTAATTTCTTGAGTCAACCCTTTCCCGAGTAGATTTATAAATAGAACGGCTAGTTTCCCGCGAAAAGTGTCATATTTCTGTGAGTCTCGTATGTCACCGTGAGAAAATAAAATTGGATGAAGTCGAACTCAGAAGCCCGTCTTTCGACCGTTTTCCTTTATTTCTTTACGTCCGTTTTTACAATTTTACAGCCGCTGGGATCTGGGTATCATGAAATAAAAGTTAATGAATTACCCGACTGAGACTGAGCATGAAGCGATGTGACAAAGGCAGCGAACTGAGGATCACGGAAAGGTTATCTTTGCGAGTGTTTTTTTTTTTGCCGTCATACATTCCACATTTAAGCATGCACCTTGAAAAGAGTCGACGATTAAACGTTCTGTGGACGATTTGAAACTTTTGGATGATCAGCGACGAAAAAGTGCCAGGATCATATGATTTTTGTCATCACCGAGGAGTGGATTTCGCCAGTTAAGCACCGCGTGAAAAAGCGATGACCTAAGTAGCAAGTAACGAGGAATGCTTCAGTTCCGAAATTTGAGAAATTGCAGTCTTCCTTTACAACTGACTTGTACCACCATGAGAGTTGCCTGATAAAACTAGCGCTTGAAAATTTGATCAGAAGACAACAGTTGCTCGACCGTGAAGTTAACTCAACCGTAATTTGCTAACGGAGGAATTTGTGACATCGCGCTCCAGTCCAAAGACCCACTTATCTCGAGAAAAGCAAAATGGATTGTATCTGCGCCAAAGGAATTATGACTGACTAACAGGACAATTTTCAGCAGTTAATGTAGAAGTTTAGGCTCAATTCCTTCCTTCGAATTCGCATCTGTAGATCACTTTTTTGCCAGAAAACAATGGCTGGGCCCGGCGTTACAAAACATACCAGGGAATCATCACACTAGCTGACGGACAAAACAAACACAAGGACTACAAGTATTTATTCAGATAAACGCATTTCGGAAAAAAAACCTTGAAAAACTAGAAATTTGATTAATATTGAGTCATTTAGCCGAAATAAGAACCTTGACGCTCAAAAAAATTGGCTAAGGAAAACGAATCCTGTCAGAACATTATGCATGTGATAGACCACCTTCATGGCCTCTTAATGTTACACAAGCAACCAAAATTAAGATTAACATAGTCAGAGTTTAAAACTTTCCACAGTATAATCTACCCGCTAGAAAGAAAAAAAGGAAAATCTCTGAGGGATGAAAACGCTTAAGTCACGTTTCACTAGCTCATGATTGTGTTTGGCCTGTCAACACCGAATTTCCTGCTGTTTGATTAAGTACAATAGCAGTGTCATTTCGTGGTTGTGATTGGCTCTTCCCACCGTCGGCGCGCGAAGTCTCCCGTAGGAACCGTTCTAATTATAAATCTACTCGGGAAAGGGTTGACTCCAAGGGCTTGTATGGGAGATGGAGGCTCCATTTGATGGGCTCCTGCTCATGTTTATTACCCCCTTATATTTTAAATGCCGGACGTCAACTGGTTATTTTTAACCCCCCCCTCCTTAACTAAAACCTCAATTCTGCTATTTGTTTTTAACTCGTTAACAAAATCTTGTCACAGCAGCAAACAAACCTAATTCGGAATAGTCACGTGACTGAGGACGTTATTACCTTAGATGTGATGTGGGAAGATATTTCATGGCAAATGTTTTCTTCTTGTGGACTGACATTCTTCTACGTATAGAATTGTCAAAGTTGTAAAGCTTTTAAAGGATTCTGGGATAATTTTTTTATGATAATTATAATTTACTTTTATAATTATCATTTATTAGATAAATCCTCAACTACTGTACGCACATGAGTAAAACCACAAAACACCTTTTCAATGCTTTATTTAAATCAACAGTACAACCCTAATTTCACAACTACATTTAATTTCGTTACATCAAAGTTTTCTGTTCATGGGACACGTCATCTTTTCAGTACCGTTAGGCTGTCAATAACTTAACTTTCAATCAGTTAAGGCTTAGGACGTCTGCTGGGCCGGAGCTTCTTGCATATTTTCCGCAGTTTTTTGCAAATGTTTTTCTAAGTGGGAGAGAAGATGAATTGTGTTAATTTTTTAATAGCTCTGTGGTAGGATACTTCTAAAACTTTGTTGATTTTTTTTAATCACATGTCAGGATTTTCATTGATTGATGCTGGCCGTCTTTATCATTTGACGCTAATTGATCAGTGAATATGAAAAAACTGAGGTATGATTACTTTATTGACAAAAGGGTAATCACTCTTTCAAACATATAACAACCTACCCCGGCTGAAAAAAATAACTAAAGAGCTAGCTCACTTGGTGGATGTATTGCATCAAGTCGTATACTTGGATGGGGACGATGATGGGGGTCATTCGCTTCATCAGCAAGCTCAGCAATGGTTTCATCACCCTGTTCATCTAACAACTCCGCGACTGCCTCATCCTCAAAAGACTCCTCAGCCAGGGTGGCGACTATCGCTCCGAGAAACAGGAGAACAAGTAGAGATTTCATTTCCAAAACAATGTTCACTGCTAAATATCCGCTAGCAATGTGAATAACATAGTTCTTCGCGCGGCCCTTTTATGGGCCCGTGACCCTGATGAACGTTAGGCATATAACAAAAGCGCTTGCAAACACACATTTGCTGATTATTGTTTATTTTCCGTTAGGCGCGAGATTAATAAATATCTTATTGACTCTTATATCAACAGCCGGGATGTTTATCACCTTTTTCCTTTGTGAGCAGCTGTGTATTGTGTGCCATCTTTTATCTTTTTCTGTTTAACCCCTTTTGTTCAAAGTTATGTTTATTTTTTGGCGGCAAGCGTGAAAAACTTGTGTACACTTTTTGCTTTGTAAAAACAAATGACCAACAACAACAACAGTATATTTATCTTGCAACCTTTGTCGCATTACAGGTGTTAAAAGTATGGGATCCCTAACGAAAGATAGAAGGGAAGGAGAATGTGTGCGTTTGGGAGTGTTGTGGGTATAGAAAGCAAAAAAAAGTTAGATGTTACGATTTGCACTAATAATGAGCGATCGGCAAACTCTATGTCTACCTCAAGCAAGTGCTAAAATAGAAAAAAAGGTAGAGATAAATTTATAAGTAAATGAAATGAAATGGCAGTACAAAAGACATACTTACAAAAATAAGAAGATGAAATAAAATTAAATTAAATGAAGGATGATCATCGCAGTTATCACTTTTTGCTTTGTAAAAAAAACCAACAACAACAACAACAGTATATTCATCTAACAACCTTTGTGGCATTAGTTGCATTACGGGTGTTCAAAGTATGGGATCCCTAACGAAAGATAGAAGTTAGGGAGAATGTGTGCGTTTGGGAGTGTTGTGGGTGCGAAGATGCACCTGTAGTAAATATTTTAGTAACTTCCAAACGCAAAGTAAAATATTTATCTTCAAGCTTGGCGCAAAATAAACACAAGGTTGAACAAAAGGGGTTAAACCGAAAAAGATAAAAGATGGCACACAATACACCGCTGCTCACAAAGGAAAAAGGTGATAAACATTCCGGCTGTTGATATAAGAGTCAATAAGATGTTTATCACTCTCGCGCCTAACGGAAAATAAACAATAATCAGCAAATGTGTGTTTGCCAGCGCTTTTGTTATATGCCTAACGTTTAACAGGGTCACGAGTCCGTAAAAAGGGCCGCGCGCAGAACTTTGTTAGTCACATTGCTAACGGATATTTAGCAGTGAACTTTGGTTGGGAAATGAAATCTCTACTTGTTCTCCTGTTTCTCGGAGCGGCAGTCGCCACCCTGGCTGAGGAGCCTTTTGAGGATGAGGCAGTCGCGGAGTTGTTAGATGAAGAGGATGATGAAACCATTGCCGAGCTTGCTGATGAGAAGAATGACCCCCGTCGTCGTCCCCGTCCAAGCGGCCCTCCGAGGGCTGTAAGATCTTCAACCTTGTCACCAATCCTAAACAAACTACTGGGATTTGCACAATCAGCTTAAAGTAGCAAACTTAATTTGTTTAAGACTCCCTTTCACGTCCTTATAAAATAGGTGCTGAGGGGAACTTCGGAAGAATCACGCTCCCTCAACCCGGAAATTGCGTATTTTATCTGGTTAACATGTTAGATCGATAACTCTGTCAAAAAAATAGACATAGCCTTTTTTCTGGTGATTGGCATCACGGTGATAAAGAATGGTATCATTAATAAAATCCTAGCAAACGGTGTTTTAATATAAACGGTATCGTATCATTGAGCCATTATTATAAAACTCGCATAGTTTAATTCTTTTCTCTTAAAAAGTGCAAGCTATATTTTAAGAAATGCTTAAAGAAGCCAACTGGTCCTCGTCCCACACGTCCCATCAAGGTAAGATCTTCCTTGTCTTTATTTTGAACCCTTATACTTTGATGTCGAGACGTAGTTTTACAGCAAAAGTGTGTAGTCAACTTATATTGTTTTTATACGATTTGATGAAATACATGGACCAGGTGAGCTCCTTAGTTATTTTTTTTTCAGCTGGGGTAGGTTGTTATATGTTAGAAAGAGTGATTAACCTTTTGTCAAGAAATTAATCATAGTTCATTTTTTTTTCATATTCACTGATGATTTAGCGTCAGGTGATAAAGAGGGCCAGCATCAATCAATGAAAATCCTGACATGTGATTAAAAAAAAAATCAACAAAGTTTTAGAAGTATCCTACCACAACCTCCCGGAAATTGCGTATTTTATTTGGTTAACATGTTAGAGCGATAACTCGGTCAAAAAAATAGCCATAGCTTTTTTTCTGGTGATTGGCATCAAAAGATAAAGAATGGTATCATCGATTGATAAAATCCTAACAAACGGTGTTTTAATATAAACGGTAACGTATCATGGAGCCATTATTATAAAACTCACATAGTTTAATTCTTTTCTCTTAAAAAGTGCAAGCTATATTTTAAGAAATGCTTAAAGAAGCCAACTGGTCCTCGTCCCACACGTCCCATCAAGGTAAGATCTTCGTTGTCTTTATTTTGAACCCTCAGACTTTGATGTCGAGACGTAGTTTTACAGCAAAAGTGTGTAGTCAACTTACATTGTTTTTATACGATTTGATGAAATACATGGACCAGGTGAGCTCCTTAGTTATTTTTTCTCAGCTGGGGTAGGTTGTTATATGTTAGAAAGAGTGATTAACCTTTTGTCAAGAAATTAATCATAGTTCATTTTTTTTTCATATTCACTGATGATTAAGCGTCAAATGATAAAGAGGGCCAGCATCAATCAATGAAACTCCTGACATTTGATTTAAAAAAAATCAACAAAGTTTTAGAAGTATCCTACCACAGAAGTATTAAAAAATTCACTGAATTCATCTTCTCTCCCACTTAGAAAAACATAATACTGCGGAAAATGTGCAAGAAGCTCCGGCCCAGCAGACGTCCTAAGCCTTAACTGATTGAAAGTTAAGTTATTGACAGCCCAACGGTACTGAAAAGATGACGTGTCTCATTAAGAGAAAACTTGATGTAACGAAATTAAATGTAGTTGTTAAGTTAGGGTGGTACTGTTGATTTAAATAAAGCATTGAAAAGGTGTCTTGAGGTTTTACTCATGTGTCTACAGTAGTTGAGAATTTATCTAATAAATGATAATTATAAAAGTAAATTATAATTATCATAAAAAAATTATCCCAGAATCCTTTGAGGCAATTTTTCTTAAAAGCTTTATAACTTTGACAATTTTATAGGTAGAAGAATGTCAGACCACAACAAGAAAACATTTCCATAAAATATCTTCCCATGCCACATCTAAGGTAATGACGTCATCAGTCACGTGACCATTTCCGAATTGGGTTTATTTGTTGCTGTGACAAGATTTCACAAACGAGTTAAAAACAGATAGCATATTTGTGGTTTTAGTTGCGGGGGGAATTTAAAAAAAACCAGTTGACGTCTGGCATTTAAAGTTCAAGGGGGTAATGAACATGAGCGAAAAAGTCGGGAAACAAGGTCGAGGGCTGTAGAGAGTCAACCTTTTATCATTCAGCAGAGAAAATTTGCGGGAAGGTAATGTTCTTACTGATAATTTTTCTAGACCAACAGAGGGACATGACGTCATCAGTCACATGATCAAAGTATTTTGAATGTTTTAGTTCGTTTTTAAAGTTTTTTTGTCATAAATTGGCAAGTTCTTGCTGTTTTTCTCAACAATTCTTGACACTGTATTATCTCTGAGTAATTACTATTCCATTTTCAAAGCAGAAAAAAACGAAAACTGAGCCAGAAGTTTAAAAGTTGCGTAAATTGACCGATATTGCAAGTAAAAATCGAAAAGGAGACCTATTCTTGACACTTTTGTATAATCCTTCTTCAACTTAACTCTTTGATTGCCGAAATAAATGTTCAACGTTTGTTAATAAAGGAGAACGTTAAAAACTAAAATGATGTATTTGGCGGCCATATTGTTTTTCCTCATTCCGGGAAGAGAGGTCATGTAGCAGCTCTTCTAAGCCTAAAAGCCACATGGTTTGCTACCCTAACCTAAAACAGTGGAACTAATGATGAACAATGTTGTGTTAATCTTTTCCCCGACCGATGAAAAGACACCTTACAAGCAGGGAGAGAATCGTACGGTCACAGCCTAGTCCCCAGGCGTTTTCGGCTCGGTCATTCCTGGACTCTACCATGAGCTGTGACGTCACCGAGAGATACTCGCCGAGAACGCCTAGCCAATATTGCCAGATCAAATATGGCAGCCTTTTCTGTCAGTCTTTTACTGCAACTTCGGGTGAATGAAAATTGTTGTCTCTATATATGTTTCAGCTAATTATTTTCCTTTTTATTATTGATTGTTAGTAGTCTCTTTGCAATTTTAATCGCGGTGCCGTTTGTTTTCAGTCGCTCAAAATGCCACGCGTATCAAACGCTTTTGAAGATCACACATCGTTATAAAACCATTAGATTAAAAAAAACATAATAATTTTTTTATGATGAAGCGTACAACTCTATTAATCTTAATTTAAACAGTCGACGACTTTTTGGCGCTTGCCAAAAGTAAGAACCGGCTAGCCGTATAAGTGGTTTTGGAAATTTTGTTAACGGTTTCGCCTGAATATTGAATAAATGCAATTTGTATTGCAAAATTGTGAAATACTGCATTCTGTCCGAGGTCTCTATGATAAAAACAGCGCCTTATGGTACTGTTTCACCTCAGATGTGATGTATAAAAGGTATAAAAGGTCGGTTTACACGTCCCCAGACTTGTTGGCAAGATTTTGTAAAGTAAACTTGTCGAACACAAAAAAATTCGGCCTGATTTGTTTTCCAGGCCTAATCTACTGTGATCAGGAGCCATTATGGCTATGCTGTTTTTTTGGGTGTACATATAAGGCTATCAACTCGATCTAAGATTAAGTTCACTCTTAGCTTGGACTGTTTGCAAATTATTTTTCTAAAAATCACTTAGCCTTTCCCTTAAAAGTCACATGAATTTGCTCTAAAGTTAACTGATTTGTGGAATACATGTACAAGTTTATTGTTTTGATTTAAATTATAAATTCGAGTTAATAGGAGCTTCGCTTTTAGCCCTGGCTAAATCTATATATTATGTAAAGTACCTGGGCCTGCCAATGTACAAAGTATAAGCGAGATCAAATTTGTGTCCGGCCGATCTTTGATTCTTAGTGACATCTACTCTTACGAACCCTGACATTCTTTCTTCCTGCTGCGTTCAGTTTAATTTGAACGAGCCCTAAAAAATCCGATAAGGGAGCGGTTTTCTTTTTCAACCGGTCTCCAGTATGGCAGGCTATCTTTTCTCAGTGTTAGCTAAACTGCGCTTTCTGGCGTCTGTTGATTGGCGAGCTAGGCTGAACTACACTGCAATTGCACATCAACGTAATAAAGATAATTGTAGGTAGGAAAAAAGAACTTAACTCCGTTTACACGATGATCCCCATTTCTGTGAAGACAGAATCGGGGGGGACGGGGGGGGGGGAATGGCGAGAAAACATAAATATCATGCTTCTATGTTATGAGTCCTCAAATGTAATATTTAATAAACAGACTGAAGACATTTATCAGGTGTAGTATCAGCAAGTTAATTTCCGTCTTGATATAACCCAAATTAAATGTCACATTTTTTTGGCGGCTTAGACAAACATAATGAGGATTTGTTTGTACAGTTAACGTTAAGACCATTCTTGCTAGGTTTTGAATGATTTTAGGAGAAAAATAGAAGGTTTAACCCTGTTGATTCTAAAGTATAACCGTTAACGGACGCACTTTTTAAACAAAGTCATTCGATCACATTCCGGCAGTATGTCGTCAGAATTTTTTATGTTTATTTTTGAGAAAAACCAATTGGGGCTAACGTGCTCTCCTACAAGTATAGAAGTAGTTCTAGCTTACTATTTCGCGTAAGTAACCTAAACTAGGGGTACCTTCCGGGAAGTGCCAACGAGGCGAATTCGTTTATCTTTTGTGGAATGTGCCTATCCAGATCTTCGCGATTTGTCACATAATTTTCGAAGTTTACAATGGATTTCGCTATAGAAAAGAATGGCACTCCACTAAAGAAAAAAACTTCGGTACATTCTAGGCTTTCCCTTCGCTTAAAAAATAACAACATACAGGCTTGAAGCTTTGTTGGTAAATTGGAGCAAGTTAGCACTATTCAAAACCATAAACGTTAGAAATTAAAATATACTTCAAGTGAGGCCGGCCTTTGACTGCTTAAATTGAAAAATTAATATTAAATCTCGAGCTTGCACCGATCAAAGGCATCATCAGGGATAAGAAAAATATTCCTCATGGTAATGTACAAAAGAAAAAAAAAAATTGGTGGTAAAGCAAAATGTGGGAAAAGCGCAAGAATGGGGCGGAATGTATCAGAGGTATAAAAAATTAAAAACTTTAATAAAATACAAAGACTAATGATCAAGTGGCAAGGGACAAAGAGTCTCTCTAAAGGCAAAATGATTCATAATGACGGTCTTTAAAACAAAAGGTCTGCAAACTCGTTGCATTCTTCATGGGCGTTTAGGGCTGTCTTTAATGTACATCGAGCTGCAAAAGGACACGAGCTGATTGGCAAAATCACTCCAAAGGCAAAAATAACTTTTAAAAAACAAAAAGGTCCTCAAATGCGTTGCATTCCTCACAGGAGGTGAGGACCGGCTCGATGTAAATCGAACTGCGAAGAACACGCTGGCTCTGACAAACGTTTTGAGAATACAACCCTGTTCCTTGATTAGCTACCGTATAAAATTCATTTTACAAAGGAAAAGATAACACTGAGAACCCTGGTTCTGAGTCGAGAAACGAACAAGCTACATCAATGTAAATAGAATTGGAAGAACAAGCTGGTTCTGACAAAATGGAACGTAAAGCCCTATTCCATGATCAGCTGCTGCTTTAAACTCAATTTATGAAGCAAACCAGGTCACTAATAGCCCTTTCAAATCTAGAAATCGTATTAAAGCTTGCTCACCTGTTAGGGCCTCTTGAACAGAAAACAAGCAGCTGTAGAAGGGATCACCCAAGTTTCGAACCACGGAGTTGAAATTTCAC